GACACCCCTTTTCGCCGCCTGCTCCCCTACTCCATGACCCACCACCTCCATCACTCTCCGGGGGGAAAAACAAAAACCACCATTCCTCCTACCTACCTCCGTTCTGGATCGATCTGTCCATCTCTACCTCCACTCCGCTCCGACTCTTCTACCTCTCTACCTGTCTCACGCTGCTTGTTGCTCTTCTCTCCCTCTAAAGATGGTTGCGCCCCAAAGTCTGTTTACCCTCTTCGGTATGTTATCGTTAGCTCTCTCTCTCGCTCTCTCTCTCTCTCTCTCTCCAACTCTCTCTCTCTGTCTCTCTCTCCCTCTCCAACTCTCTCTCTCTCTCTCCAACTCTCTCTCTCTCTCTCTCTCCAACTCTCCCTCTCCAACTCTCTCTCTCTCTCTCTCCAACTCTCCCTCTCCAACTCTCTCTCTCTCTCTCCAACTCTCTGTCTCTCTCTTCAACTCTCTCTGTCTCTCTCTCTCTCTGTCTCTCTCTCTCTCTGTCTCTCTCTCTCTCTGTCTCTGTCTCTCTCTCTCTCTGTCTCTCTCTTCTACCTTCTCTTTTTGTTTTATTTCCATTCTATATTTGAGACATTTGTTATTCTTATTATTCTTATTATTATAATTGCAAGCTTATGTTTGCGCACACTAGCTTGTTTAGTCACTTGTAATACATTTTGACCCCCTGTTTATTGGTTTGGGTTAATGTTGATTACTTTGCCCTAAAATTCACTAGGTAGTAATCTGTTAATGCACGGTTAAGTCAATATCTCTGCATGTTGTTTTATTGCTATGATTTCTAGCCATCTGACACAGCATGATACCGTATCTGTTTAGAGGGTGTCTCTTCTCTCTTTACCTGTTCTCTCTACACACCTCTCACTCAAAAGTCTGCTGTAAAGTTCTTGTGTGTACTCTGCTAGTCTCTCTTCTGTGTTTCTTGCCTTTTTAAATATCCTTTGCCTCCAGCGCTGACTTTCCATTCTATTCTAACTGTCTGCTTTCTCTCCACCTCACCTCTTCTCCTCCTGCCTGTGGCTCTAACGCAGGAGTGTACGGCGATGTCCAGAGGGTGAAGATTCTTTACAATAAGAAGGACAGCGCTCTCATTCAGATGTCGGACTCCAACCAGGCCCAGCTAGGTGAGCAGTTGTCACCGTCCACCTGTGATGCTAGCAGCAGGAAGTCGATGCTGCATCCAAGGGGGCAATGAACTGAGAGCAAACTGAGTCTTACAGATAAGAGTTCGGACCATTTCTGGTTTTGCCGGCTCGGTGTGTGTAAGCTCACACCAGTTTGATTTCATGCATTGTTTTTCCATTGTGACAATTTAAAACCTGTTCCGACTGCGCAATGCTGCTAAATGCTTGTTTTGCATTAGTAATAAGCAAAATGACAAACGTCATTAACATGACTTTGTTTGCGTAAATGGACAAATGGAGCCGCAGTAGGAGGGGAGGGGAGGGGGGGGGGGGGGGCACATTGATACAGCTGGTAAAATGTAAAGATGTGATGCCTGGTGATAGTCCTTCACTCAGGTATCACAATGGGGCACTCTGTTTTTAACCCTGTATCCGCTGTATCGTACACAAAGAGCTGTGATTCATATGAAAGACAACCACCACCGAAATGTCAAACTCCAGAGTTGAACCTGTTATCGCTCTCAAATTGATGGACAGGTCTGTTCAGAGGCTATGCTGTCCTTCAATATGTTAGAACAGTCCCAGTAGCCAGAGTAAGGCCTGCTCATCACTCCTCCTGTTTGTTGTTGTGTGAAAAGAAGTTGACTTCATGAAGAGCTGTCATCACCTAGTGAGCAAGCTGAGTGGAGGAATACAAAGATCCTCACTTTATTATTTCAATGTCTGACGACATCAACATGAGCACGGTTTCTCATTTTATGGTTGTTTGTGTTTATTTTCCACTATAAGTTTTCTCATTATTGGCTTCAGTTAGTAAAGCCAATGAATACCACATGACGGGCAGCAGCGTCCTCACCCATGACCTGCCTTTCTTTTTCCCACGGCCGAAGCGATGAGCCACTTGAACGGCCAGAAGATGTACGGAAAGATCATCCGCGTGACGCTGTCCAAGCACCAGACCGTGGCTCTGCCCCGGGACGGCCTGGACGACCAGGGCCTGACCAAGGACTACGCCAACTCCCCACTTCATCGCTTCAAGAAACCCGGCTCCAAGAATTTCCAGAACATCTTCCCGCCGTCTGGCACCCTCCACCTCTCCAACGTCCCGTGAGTACCAGGCCAGCGAGCTCGGGGTCAGTCAGCGGTGTTGATACTGATTGTTGTTGATGCTGGAGAATGCTGTGTCTCATGAAACAGCCACAGCTCTTCATGCAGGTCCATTTTGCACCGGACCACGACTTACAAGACAATTTGTCCAGATTTGGAGAAGTCTAATTATATATCTATTATAAAAATAGAATAAAATGCAGCATGAGAAACACTGACTGTGTGACCTTTGTCTCAACAGACAAGACGTGACGGAGGATGACCTGCGGCTGCTCTTCTCAAACGCTGGAGGAACTGTGAAAGCTTTCAAGTTTTTCCAGTACGTAGACTTATCCCACTGCAATATATACGGGACCTGATGACATGTTACTGCTGAGGATCCTTCCATCTTGGAACAATCCGTGATTGTTAATAAATAGTTTAGTTCAGTTAAATAGGTAAAAAGAGGCTTGTCACGCGCCGGTCCTTCTTAAAGGTCAGCGAACATTTAATGCGTCAGAGCTGGAGCTTTTGCTAATTTTGGGGTTAACCGCCTTCATGGTGAGGTTGTACCGGAGCAGTACATCATGAGCACACCATCAGACCCGATCCACAGGTTCATTTCCTACATAACACTGTCGTGTTTTTTATAGGGATCGCAAAATGGCTCTGATCCAGATGTCGACGGTGGAGGAGGCCATCCAGGGCTTGATTGACCTGCACAACTACAACATGGGAGGCAGCCAGCACCTGAGAGTCTCCTTCTCTAAGTCCACCATCTAAGAACAGCAGCCAACGTGACCCACAGTCTGGGAGCTGGTGGTCAGAAACCTTACAGACTGTCTGTACACTGGGGGGGGGGGGGGGTCGACCATATTGAGTGAATCAGTTGTTGGGCTTTTGTTGATCCTGTCATTCCTTGGGAGAGAGAGAGAGAGAGACTGACATTTCTGACATCATTTTTTTTTTTTTTTTTAAAAGAGGAAACTAGTTTTTTGCAGATACTGGATCCTCCCAGCTGTTAACTGTACCTCTGTATTATATCAGGCAAACATATTGACATGATTGATTGTCTCTCCCCCCCCTCCCCCCCCCCCTCTATGATAGTTTGATGTCGATCGGTGTTTAACTCTTTATTTAGTTGGAAAGATACAGTACTTATGTGCCTTACTTGACAATATCAACTGCTCCTACAGCTGGACATGTTCATTTATTACCCTCTTATACGTTTGAGGCACATTGGTATTGGTATATATTTTTGAGGGACAGTGAGAAGACGAGCTGTTTTGTCGTCCTCTAAACTTTGTTACAGTTGTTTTTAGCTCTTTGGGGGGGTTTTACATTCATAACATTTTCCCTTTTTATAGTTAAGCAACAGAAGAGAATATTACTTGAGGCTAAATGTACGAGTTTAAAAGCAATCCCGCGACAGGCAGCTTCACTTTGAACGCCAATATTCCACAAGTACGTTCAGCATAAGATCCTTCTCCCCCAGTTTTGATTCCACATATTCAACCAAACATCACAACGTGGCGAAGGTATCCGTGTTTTATTTGTGGAAGCCTTTCCTGTGCTTTGTTCTCCCACATGTGTTCCATGAGGTGTTTACTGTCAGTGACAATGGTTCTCTAAAGCATGTGTAGTTGTGACAGGATCTCACTTCAGAAAGCGTTGCATGCTGTGGAAGCAGTGAGACGAGTCCACTGTGATGTATTTGTCATGTGACAGTTTACATGGAGAGGGCTCCTCAGTTGGACCAAAGTTTCTGTGCCTTCAGTGGTTTAATTCATTTGAACTAACACAAAAAAGCAAAAAAAAAGTATTTGAACACACTGATGCCCAGAACTTTCAAGTGGTGACTTAATTCCCGATGTTTTTAAACTACCCAACCTTGGCTTGAGGTTATTGCTCAGAAATAATAGTTGTGTATTGTATTTTATTTTATTTTTTTTTTATTTTTTTTTTCCCCAAGTCTGATTTTATACAGCTGAAAATGTAATGATTTGGTATAGTTCTGAAGAGGCACAATTAAAGGATGAATTATTTTCTAACAAGGGGAGGTACGCCTTGGTGTCCTGCTCTTTTTTGTTTTTGTTGAGTTTTCCCTCATGGTCTCTCCTGTGTATTCTGCATTACGTCTGTAGCATGCTTAATAAAACTATTCTGTAGCTCCACTTTCACCTCCTCTGTCTCTCACTTCTCTGTTCTGTCTGCTTACTTCTGAAGCCATCTTCAGTCCCAGGGTGGGAAAGGAGCCAAAGCCAGCTCTGATACGCCAGATTGAGCCCTCTGATCGCACTAATTCACAGGACCAGTACATTTGTGTTGATGCGTTTCCCACCCTGCCAACTGACACAATCTATTCCTTTGATGTCTTGCTCTCCTCTCTTCTGCAAGTTGCCTATTTTCTAAACGGTCTCTAATCTGCCTTGCTCTCTGATCTATCTACTTGCTCTCACACTAAATCAATTACAGAAATGGCCACATTTGTCATTTTTCCAGGCTCTGCATTTTACGCCATTGTAAGCGTTCCAGCATTAATTGCTCTGTACACACTTGGTTAATGTTCAGCCAATTACATCCACATGGTGTTGCTGCAGAATGGCGTTTCGCACACCGCTTTAATCCATGCCAAGAGGCAACCTCCGCTGCTGACAAATAAAGCCGCGGTGAAACAAACGTTCCGCTAATAGAATAGAACACTCGGTGTACAAGTACATGCAAAGTTTAAGAACTACGATTCCCGCTTTCCTGGTTGTACAGCCAGCCACGATGCACCCACGTCCGGCCAAAACGTCATTGCTTCATTTTATCTTATTTGACAATTGTGGGAAATTAAATAATTAAAGGACAGTGGATACAGTAATACGCTCCTTTCTATCAGTATGGAACTAACTAAACTGAGCCCATGTTTTTAAACTAGCTTTAACTGCAACATCTTATCTTGTACCCACGTTAACTCTGCTGAGCTGTGCGGTGTATGTTTTATTTCTGATCTTTTGTGATGTGAGGTCACTTTGATCGGCTTTAAAGGGGCCATTGAATAAAATATATTTTTGTTATTATGAAAGCATTGCAGCTGACCAGAGTACATTGTTAGCAGTAGCTTTAGCCTCTATTCTCAGGATATTATACATCCTGATATGAACTCGTCAGATGGGTGGAAGTAGCGTCACTCATTAATTGCACGAGCCGGTGAAATGAAGCCGATCACTCAGCCGTGTGACGTGTTGACAGTCGTATTCATCGTACGCGGTGCGCCTCGCAGCGCTGCAATAAATGAATCAATAAATAATTAATACAAATGTAATCAGTGTAATGAAAAACTACCTCCTCACCTTGTTAGCTACAGTGTTGTACAGAGAAGTAGGTAAAACAAAATGGACTTGCTCTTGTATCAATATCCCATATACAGTGGGTATGGAAAGTATTCAGACCCCTTTAAATTTTTCACTCT